TGGGACCAAGTAGCACTAAATTGGTGACTTAGAAACGACGCTGTCAAGGAACGCTATGGATAGAGGAAACATGCAAGAGGAGGAGAGTTTAGTTTCGGAGGTCGTGGATGAGTCTCCTCCGTCATCCATTTTTTATTTAGAGGAGGAAAGCGGGGACGAAGATGTTGTGGAAGAGGACGCCAGGGCGGCAGAAGCTTGGTTTGGTGTAGAAGGCTTCCAGCCGTACATGTTTGAGCCCTTGCCTCGCAACGCTGCCAGTTCTGTTAGCTCTACGCCTGCTGAAGACACAGACGTCCATCCCCGTGAACACTGGGACGCAACTCAATGGGAAAGGAAAGGATTCTGGTTTCTACCGTTGCGTATATTAGCTGAGACACATGAATCAAGATGCTATGACCGAAAACATTTGATTGACAGATAACAAAAGTGCTTCTATAAGAAATTCATGAAAAACCCTCTGAGAGTGAAAGAAACCCATTTTTTGGTTCAACACAACCTTAGAGGCATTAATGCTGATACTGGCACTTAGATTTTTTAGTTTATAAACCTAAATATAATTGTTAACAGGGCTTATTAACTTTTTAACTTTTCAATTTAGCTACTTTTCTTTTCATGGTAATTTCCAGCAGGTAATCTATCATTCAAGGGTTCATCTAATTGGTCAAACGCAAAAATCTGAGGTACAGCCATGTAGCAGGATCTTTGCTGAATGGCTGGATATAGATATTGTGCTTCTAGACCTCACTGAGGGAAGGGGGAGACTCCATTTTTAAGGGGTATGCTAAGGGCACACTGCTCCCCGTGCGCCGTACCATGGCAGCCCAGCCTCAGATCCATAAAGTTCAATTATTATTTAAATATCTGGTTATTTAGCCCATAATCATCTGCATGTTTAACAGTGAAAAACATCTGGAGGTTTTAAAAAGGTTGAAAACAGCAGTTTTTTACTCCCCTGTGGAGTTCGGTGTCGTAAGCTTCTGGTTTGGGAATTCTATGGCTTTTCTTCTGGATCTAATCCAAACAGCTGTGTAGCCTGGCCTCCACGCTCGCACTGGGAGAGAGGAATCCGTCGATCGGTGAGTTTCTACGCCGACGATTGTCAGATCTTTCTCAGAATTGTTAACACTGGGATCAGCTCTGAACTGGTTCTCTTCAAACTGGCCTGATAGATCCTGTCTGAGTGCAATTTTGCTCATCGTCTCTTCAGTTTGGTGAACCTCCAGGTCTTGTTTCGGGTACCTAATGTTTTATTGTGCATGTTCCCCCTTGGACACATTTTCAAAGTTTCCTTTTTAATATTTTACATTTAGAATCTGATAATCTGGAACAAGCTGAGGAAGCGGTTTTGAAACAGAACTGATCAGACTCTGAGGTTCATCCTGTGGGACTAAAAGAGAGTCGGGTTCAAACCGACATCATGAAGCGGCGAGGAAGACCTTCAGCATTTTCTGCTCATAGAAAATCAGACCCAGATATAAAAGGTTAAAAATCTTCCCATAAACAGCAACAGGACGCGTGATTGTTCACACTGCCGGACCCGGTTCTGTTGCAAACCGGATCCGACGGTTCGCTTCGCTCTGCTTTACCGACAGACGATGAGATGAACTGGAAGGAACCGTTTTCTCCTCAGGATCAAAGACGGAAAAACCTCCGTCTCCATTTTTCTTTTCTTCTTCTCTGCTTTTTTTTTTTTTTCTACAAAAACATGAAGATATTTTTCAACATAAAAATAATACTGACTGAAAGAAAAAGGAATTTTCCCTTTAGAAAAACTGGCTTCCAGTGTTTGTTTGTTTAAACTTTAACTTCTAATCCAATTTTATTTCCTTTTACTAGAATGTAAAAATAAAAATCTCATAAATTCAGTTTAAAACACTTCAGAGCTTAATGACAAACACCTAAAATCCACCTGTTTACATCTTTAGGTCTGTTTTGATGTTTTAACTTATTTTTTTCTTTGTAGAAATTCAGACTCTGAACGTTAAAGACGAAGAATTCAACATTTAAACTTTAAGTAAATGTTTTTCTGAGAGAAAAAAAAAAAACAGTCAAACTGTTAAAAATTCACCGACAAACACGTCAAACTTTACATCGATATAGTTCTGATATCAGGACAACAAACTGTAACCAAATATATTCTGCTTAAACCGTCTGAAATAATCTGTTTTATCAAATTAAACCTTTTTTTTTCAGCTTATCTGAACTGAACTGTTTTCTGAGGTATGAAAAGCTTTAAAGATATTTTTAATACTTAAGCTCCTGTTTGCGAAAAATCCAACTTTTCTTTCATTTACTGATATTTCTTATTTCATTTGTACTTTTCTTTTATACATTTAGAGAAAAAACACCCAAATAAATACTTTTAAACTGTGTTTTATGATACAGGACTTTTCTGCTCGTTTGAAAATGTTCGTAAAAACGTCGAGCTAACATCTCCGTATCGGAGGAAGTGCTATGCTGAATTCTCACCTTTTCTATAACTTCTAGGAGATTTTTCTATGATATAGAGGCTACCTTTCTGTTACTGAGAATAAAGATATTTTATAAAATTTAAGGTAACCTTTCTGTACATTAGACGTTAACGTTCATGTTTCACCTTCAGAATTTAAATGTTACTTTTCTGTAACTTTTAGGTTTGTTTTTCTTTCCATAAATTAGATGATATTTGTATTATCTTAAGAGGTTATCTTTCTAAAACCTAGAGGTTTACTTCCAAAACTTCTCCTACATTTTCCTGTAACTT